GACAAGAAGTTCATAATCCTGGAACAGATTGAATATGACAATCCTAGATCCATGAGTTTAAACACCTGTCATTCCAGGCAGGTCAGAACAGTGTGGAGCATGATAGCTATAGCATCCTCTATCTGTTGGCTCTGTATGCAAACTGATATTTATCCAGTACATGTGGAAGGCAAGAAATGATATGCCTGCAGACCAGTATTTCAAGGCACTTTATGATGATGGAAGTGATTGCCACTGTTCTGTAGTCCTGAAAATTCCTGATAGGGAACTCCTTTGGCAACGGAACAATAATGGAGGCCTTCAAACAAGATGGAGCAATAGACTGATATAAAGACTTGTTAAAGATCACAGTAAAAACACTGGCCAATTGGTTGGCACAGTCTTTAAACACCCAACCAGAAATGCAATCTTGTCCAGTGGCCTTCCTAGGATTTGCAGCCCTCAAAACACTTTATCTCATGTTCCTCCATGGTGAGGTTGGAGATGTAATTGCCCCGTGGCAGAATTCCAGCTACTTCTGGTGGGCTTACGTCAAAGCAGACAAAAAAGTGATTCAACTCTTCTGCCAATGAGACACCCCCCTCAGCAGGAATGTCATTGTTTGGTTTACAGTTAGTAATTTGTTGAATCTCCTGCCACATCTGCCTCGTGTTGTTACTGTGGAAATGATCCTCAGCCTTCTTCTTATACTCCATCTTGTCCTGCTGGATGTCTTTCTTGTTAACTAACAAGAAGCAAAAAAAAATGGACAAGGTAATTTATGGCATAAAGAGGGATGCAATGAATAATCATTATTCCTTTCCAGGTCAAAAACCAGAACAATACACCATTTTTCACACACACACACACACACACACACGTATTGCAAACCCAAACTTTCGCTTCTAGGGTAATGCATTTGAAAACCTTCAGCCAATGCAGAGTATTCTCTAGTGTACAAGGAGGCAAGGGCATACAAATGCCTGAAGTGATCCATTGTTGTGCTTTTCAACCTATTAAAGAGAACTGTGGTTGGTTTTCTCACCCAATCTGCTCAGACTGCATGGATTCTCAGCATCACCAAGGTCATGCACTTGCTAAGGCTGCCAGTTCTAAATTGATTGCAGTGGGACTACATGTGTAGAACTGGCACTGTGAGTGGGTATTAAGTTCCCCAAATAAGGATAAATTGGCAATGGTGGGGGGAAATGAACTGTTGTTGTACCCTTTGAGATGTGTGGTCCCCCCAGGGTGGAATCTTAAAATATAGTCTCTAATACAGATGGCAAAAATGTGATAAATACAGATAGGATAAAAAAACTTACTCAAAGTTACTTTTAGAAATATTTTAAAGAGGGGGATTTAAACACCTGATGATTACTTAGCAGAAGTCATGTTGTTTTGAATAGGACGTTGCTATATTTGTGTCTAAGACTGAATCTGAATTCCACTACGCTAAGTAATTTAAGAAACAGTAAAGTTCCAGGTATTTCTGTTGAGAAGTCAGTTCCACTGCGTTTAGTGATTAAACTTCCAAATAAGTATTTTGAAACTCCATTTTTATTAAGATTGCAATCTTAATTACACTTAGAGCAAGACCTTTTGAAATTCAGAACGTTTTGGAGATGAACAAACAGACATAGGATTTCGTACCAAACTGAACTTTTACAGCACAGGTGGGTAAGCAATGTGTTATATCATGTGTCAAAATACTGTTGGTCCCATTAACCTTGTCATCTACATATCTAATTAGGCATAACCAAACAGCCGAAGCAATTGTGAAGGATGGGAGGAGTGTGAGCGCAACTATACAAGAAGTTCCATCATGTTCTACATTCTCAGATTCTGTTGATAACAAATGCTTAATTTGTTTTCAATTCCGTATATAAAGAAAAAAACAACAAAAGAGAATAAGACTTGTGAGGAAAACAATAGATACAGGCAGTCCCCAAGTTAAGAACAAGATAGGTTCTGCAGGTTTGATTTCAAGCTGAATTTGAATACAAGTCAGAACAGGTATATTTTTATAATGTGGTGTTTGTTTTGCTGTCTGTACCTCTGTTTAGAAGATTTCACCTCTTTTTTTGTCCCTGTGATAATTGGAAGTTGAAAAAATTGGCTTGTTGGGTAAACAAGGATTGGTGACAGAGCTTTTCCTCATCATAACTCTTCTAGGAGTGAATTTCCCTTCTGAGGGATAGGTTTCTCTCACTGTTGTCTCACCCCCATTTGTTACTATGAGCCCCTTGTATGTTGAATGTTTATAACTTGGGGACTGTCTGTACTGGTTTTCCACAATTCTGTAACCTCACAACTGTCCAGGGCTTTCCTTTCTTTTCTTATTTCTGAAAACAAATGAAGAAGGGTTTCAGGTTTGAAGGTGTTCTATGGTGACATATCTTCTTGGTTAATTCTTGATAAAACTGTGCCTCTTATTTAGCTTCTTCCAAGAGTGAAAGCCACCTAAGAAGGTTTATTAATTTTCTCACTATCACATTTTTTTTATAAATAGCACTTATTCAAGGCTCTTCCTCATCACATGTTTGAATCTTTGCATCTAATTTGGATCTATGTAAGGAGCTCAGTTGGAAACCAACATGATTGTGAGAATCATAGTCTTCTGTGCATTCCATTTGTGTAATAAAACTCGCAGTCCTTAGATGCTCCAAGAGACCACATGGTATATACACATGTTTTACAAAATGATTTCAATTGTTTTAAAATTATATTGTAAATGTATTTTAATCTACTGTTTTTGGAAGCTGCCTTGGGTCTCACACTGGGAGAAAGTGGCATATAAACCAAAGAATTAAATAACTGATGATGCAAAACAGCTGTAGACATCAGACCTAATACATTCCTACTAGCTTGTTCTTTTTATTTGCAAGAGCTACATAATTGCACTGTCTAATATAAACTCCATCATCCCTTATCATCTGTTTTCACTGTTTACTTTCTATGTCTGATGGGAGTGCAGTTTAATGATTCTTGAAATAGATTTCATCTCCCCATGAAGTGGGGAGAGGAAACAGCATTTGTCTGCCTCCCACGAGGCAGGGAGGAGTTCTGGAAGAACTCTCCAGAACGCTGGGGGCGTGGCCTGAGTACAGGCCAGGCCCCCTCCCAGGCTCATTCCGCGCCTGGAAGTTGAGGAGAGAAGACGGCGGGGGAACAGCTGGGACCAGCAATCCGAAGAAGGAGGTTTGAAAGCAGATAGAAGGCAAAAAGATTGAAGAGAACGAAGGGAGAAGAGAGAGAAGAAGAGAGAAGTGGAAGAGAAGAGGATTGAATTTGAGAGAGGACAGCGAAGGACGAGTAAAAGGACGGGGCGAGGGAGTCGGCTACATTAGGTCGGTTGCGAGGGCCCCGGAGGGGGGTTTTGGGTTACTCACTCCCCCCCCTCCATCCTCCATTCTGAGTAAAGGTTTTCGCCGCGGTGGGCTCCTTGCCTGGATTTTCGACTCCCTCCCCTCCCCCCCCACAGCCCTCCCGTTTTTTCTTGCTTTTTATATGTAGGACACCCTCCCTGGCTCCTACCGTTCCCCTCCCCCCCCGCTTTTTCCTTCCCCCATTTCTTCCCTGAGGGGCGCGGGGCGGGATGAAGTTTCTTAGGGTGGTGGGGGTTGTGTTTGGAGTGGATAGGGGGCCGAATTGAGGTACTCGCACCCCCCCCATTGCACCCTCCTTCACCCATGGCGGCCATGGCTGTGGCTGTTATGGGCGGGGCATGGCGGCATGGGGCAGTTTGCCTCTTAGGTTCCTGTTATATTAAAACTTCAGGGTCCGCACGCCGCTAGGCGGCGGGGGGCTCCAAACCATTCATCATGATCCTTGCCGCCCTCCTCCCTCCCGCTTCCCCTTCACCTGTGTTCTGATGCTTTTGGAGATAGTTGGGGCGGTATGGCAGGGTGAGGATGCTTGTTTGTTTTGTCTGGTGGCCATGCGGTGCCCAGACGGATGAGGCATTACGGTTTAGCTCACGGTGCGGCTGCGCGCTGCGAACGTTTAGCGGTGCGCGCACGTGGCCTACTTCCGGCCTGTTTGTTTTCGCTGCTGGCCATGCGGTGCCCGGGTTGAGTGGGGGTACTGGCGCATGCGCATGGCGGCTGCGCGCTGCGGCCATCTGGCGGTGCGCCCGCGTGGCCACTATATGGGTGCATTTGGGAGGCCGGCGACATCGGCGGGCCTTAAGCTTGCCATGAGGTGCGGACGCGGCCGCCATTTTATGAAAGGCGCGGCGGCCATTTTAATTTTAAAAAAAAATTAATAACAATAATAATAATAATATTAATAATATTAAAGACGATCCTACGGTATTAATTACCAGGCAGCGGTACTGGTCTCGCTAGGGTGGATGTGGCAGAGTTTGGCACTGAGCTGATCACCCAAGGTTGCAGGGGATTGTTCTTGAGCGGTGGGGGAGCTCTGCTTGGTAGCTCTAGCCTACTCGGTTTACCGTGCTCCGGTGCTGAGCGGTTTGAGAGTGCAAATGTGAGTAGATCAATAGTAATGGAGGTACATAACGGCAAATGTGAGTGGATCAATAGTGATCGTTGGGAGGGGCGAAGGTGTCTGCCTTGGCTCATGCCAACCTAGCAGTTGATAGTTTGGGTGTTTAGACCCAGCGGTTTATTATATTCATGCTACTGTGCTCGGCAAGCTTAGATAGGTGTGAATGGCCGTCTTTATGAGGATATATTAGCTTTCTTCTCTGGCTGAGAACATGGGCTTGGTAGTTAGGCTGCCAGACAAGGGTTATATATTGATGGATATTGGTCATTTATCTTACATTATAGTTTTAGATATGCGATGGGATATGGGTACATAATTATTATGTGTATACGTTTATCCCACATCATCATTGGTAAGAGCCTTTTAGTGGTTGCATTAAAAGGGATTGGGTTCATCCCCTGGGCGATCTAAAAATCCCCAATAGAGTGGGGTGGGGGGTTTTTCTTAAATATTGTCAAGTCGTTGGGGCACTGTTCAGGTACTGACGTAGTCGCTGTTAATTCTTTTACAGGATGGCGCCAATGAAGAACGTGGGCGGCCCAAAAGGAAAAGGGCCTGCCAAGAAGACGCCGGCGAAGCGTCCCCTCCCTCCCAAGGGATCGTCTTCGGAGGAGGAGGATGTTTCTGCCGAGGATTTGAATGAGTTATTGGCCAGGATGGACAAATACGAAAGGGAGAGAGGGCTGGCAGTGAGGGAGGCTGGTTTGCGCCYGGCGCGGCACGCTAGTAGAAAGCAAATTTTTAAAAGCCTGCTCTCTCGCATGTCTGTTTTAGAAGCCAGCCGACAGCCGGGGAGGGGAGATGGTGAGCAGTCCAGCCAAGTGGTCTTCAATCAGGTTGTTGAAGATCCTCCGGTTGTGACGATTAGTCAAGTTCAAGACGCCGTGAGCCAGATGGCTGGGGAAAAATCACCGCCAGCTACACCGGTCAGCTCAATTTCTGCAGCGAAAGCAGCGCCAGCCGCCGTTGAGYGGGCTGGTCCGGATGGGTCATCTCCTCTGSCGATATCGGTTACGGCRGAGCCGGTGCCAGGGGGTCAGCTTGTGACGCAGGGCGGCGGTGTTGAGGGTCCGTCAACTTCCACAGGTAAAGACACAACACTGGTCTGGCCCTGGGGCCCGAGCCAAGCGCAAAACACCACACCTAATACTACAAAGGTGACACCGGGTGCGGGTGGAGATTTAGTCACTGGGACTGGCTCGCAAGCGGCTTTGGGGTCGCCGATAACATTAGAAATGGCCAGGACAGGAGTTGATAACCAGTTTTGGGGTACGGATAAATGGGTTTTGCCAGTAGTTACCACTGCGGCTTCTGCATCATTGGGATCTCATCTATCGCAGAAGACCATTGATAGGATACTCAGAAATGAGTACATTGATATTTTTTCATTATACTTTAGGGAATTAGATAAAAAGGAAAAGGAGGAGTTAGATGAGGAGCGTAAAGAAAAGCTAAAGCACAGGYGGGTAGAACAGAATTGGAAGAATTGGATCGCATGTTACACCATTTATGCATCCCTTTTRGTCGAGGCCCRTCCTTACAGGGCCAAGGCCTTGTTTAAGTATCAGAATATAATATATGGGGCTTACGTCAACTACATGGGGCAGGCSTGGCTAGTTTACGATAGACGTTTTCGTTCGGAGGCCGCCACTAAACCTAACAAGAGGTGGGATCTTATTGACAGTCAGTTATGGATGGAGGTGATGAATAYCACTAGAGCAGTCTCTGGTGAGAAGGCCGATAGTGGCCACACAATACAGAACGCCAGGGGRAACCAGCCCTTTCGGCAGGGCAGCCCAGCACAACAGCCGCAGAAGCAAAAGGGTATGTGCTGGGAATACGCAGCTCAGGGAGTTTGTGCACGTAAAGACTGTAAATATCAGCATGCCTGTGCAATATGCCAGGGGAATCACGCCACCAAGAGTTGTTTCAAAGGAAAGCCCGCTCGAACCRGGCCGAGGGGTGTGCAGTTCATTAAAAGGAACTYAGGACAAGGTAGTGTTTCAAAAGGGCCCCAGCCCAATCAGGGTGGGTCCGCTTAGCTGCTGGTTAGAGAAATACCCGGACAAAGCGGCGGCTGATTATTTGCGCCGCGGTTTTGACGAGGGCTTTCGGATCCCGGCTTTCGGGCCTCGTGCTCCATGTTTTGCACCTAATTTGAAATCAGTTGTTGGATTAGAGTCTATAGTTAAGAATAAGATTGATAAGGAAGTTAAAGAAGGCAGGGTACTGGGTCCATTTTCAGCACCCCCCACGCCTCAGTTTAGGGTTTCACCTCTTGGTATAGTTCCCAAGAAGGCCGTTGGTGAATATCGCCTCATTCATCATTTGTCCTACCCGAGAGGAGGATCGGTGAATGACGCCATTCCCGATGAGCAATGTTCGGTTAGTTACACGTCTTTTGATGCAGCTGTCCGGTTGGTGCGGCGATATGGACCGGGGGCAGAATTGGCAAAATGCGATATTAAATCGGCATTTAGGTTGCTTCCGGTTCATCCGGCCGATTTCGAGTTATTAGGATTCCAGTTTCAGGGATTTTATTACTTAGATCGGGCATTGCCCATGGGGTGCGCAGTGTCTTGCGCTACCTTTGAGGCTTTTAGTACCTTTCTTGAGTGGGCTGTAAAAGAAAAGTCCGGACTTCGGGGCGTCGTGCATTATCTTGATGATTTTTTGTTTATAGGCCAAGGCGGATCAGGGGACTGCGGTGCCCTGTTGCGCGCTTTTCAACAATTGGCGGGAGAGCTAGGCGTGCCCCTAGCCGAAGAAAAAACCGAGGGCCCCCTCATGGTTTTGACATTCCTGGGGATTGAGTTGGACACAGTCAATCAGTTTTCAAGGTTACCCAAGGAAAAGGTGGAGGGACTGTTAGTCAAGTTAGAACTATTTTTGATGCGAAACAAGGCCACTTTGAGGGAATTTCAGCAAATAATTGGTCATTTAAATTTTGCATGCAAGGTCATCGCACCAGGACGGGCTTTTTTGCGCAGATTGTGTGACTCTATCTCCGGCGTGTTGTTGCCGCACCATCACATTAGAATAACACGAGAGATAAAGGCTGACCTGTTCATTTGGCTGCAGTTCCTGCGCCAATTTAATGGGATTTCATTTTGGCGTCAGGAATTGATGGTTAAAAATGCACTGCAAGTGGCTTCGGACGCATCAGGTGCAGTGGGTTTCGGAGTATATTTCGAAGGGCACTGGTGCGCTGAAAGATGGCCGGACCGTTGGCATGAGTTGAGAATAACGTCAGACTTAACCTTTTTGGAATTTTTTCCTATTTTGGTAGCTGTCACGCTTTGGGCTGACAGTTTTACCAATGCGACGGTCCATTTTTGGTGTGATAATATGGCCACAGTACAGGTCATTAATACTCTCACATCTAAATCCCGCAGAGTTATGGGGGCTATCCGACAGTTCGTGCTACATTGTCTCAAGTTTAATATACTGTTTAGGGCGTTCCACGTTGCGGGTATCAATAATGATTTGGCTGACGCTCTGTCTCGTATGCAGATGGAGCGCTTCAGGCTGTTGGCACCCGGCGCGGACGTATGTGCGGAGACCATGCCAGACCATCTCTGGAGGGTTGGAGAGACGAGACAGCATTAGGTATGCGTTTGGCTTTAGCCCCTAGCTCAAGGAAAGCCTACAATAGGGCAGTACAAGAGTTCTTGCAGTTTAGACAGCACTATGGTTTGCCAGAAACGGTGCCGGTGCCCTACGAGCACGTGGCGCAGTTTTGTGTATATCATAGGAGGAGAGGATTGGCGCCCCAGTCTATCAGATCAAAGTTATCAGCGCTAGCATTTTGGTTTAAGGCCCAGGGCCTTAGTGATATCACTGATGACTTTCGATTACATAAAATTTTGGCGGGGTGGTCCAGGCAGCGTGGGCATCTTAGGGATGTCCGGGAACCAATGACGCCTTCGATTCTTAAAGGAATTAAGCAGTTGTGGCCCAATTTGTGTGCTTCTTATTATGAACAGGTTTTGTACCATGCAGCAGCGCTGACTGCGTTTTTTGCAGCTATGCGGGTGAGTGAATTGMTGGCCTTATCCAAGAGCGATACCTCACACCGCGRGCTTCTGGTTTCCGACATTTCGATTTTTCGGGAGAGCATGGAGGTCAGGATTAGAACTTCCAAAACTGACCAAGGGTCTAAGGGTCAAGCGATTAGGCTACAAAGATGCGGAGAGGAAGATATATGCCCTGTGGTGGCCATGATGCAGTTTGRGGCACTRAGGGGCAGTGAGGAGGGGTATTTGTTCCGCCATCYGGATGGTAAACCGCTGACCAAGTACCAGTTCTGGGCCATTACAGCCAAGGCGCTGGACCTCCTGGGATTGGGACATCTTAAATTTGGGACCCACTCCTTTAGGATCGGCGCTGCCACGGRGGCAGCAGCAATGGGTTACGGAATTGATGAGATCAAATCAATAGGCAGATGGAGGTCYGGCGCGTTCAGAAGTTARGTARGGTCAGTTTCATCCTAGTATTTATTATCGTTACAGGTCTTACTGGGCTGGCACATAGAAGAAGGGTCCTGATATGCGGACACAGTTATGTCTTTTGGGCAGGGAGAGAAGCCCACAGGACTGCCTATGGCCAGCATTTGGGTCTCGCTTCCACGGCGGCGGTGGAATGGAGAGGCAAGAGAGGCCTACGTTGGGACGSTTTGTGCCCCTTGTTGTTCAATGCCGGGAGTGTTTTGCCTCCTGATGTTTTAGTTATCCACCTCGGTGGTAACGACTTGGGCCTGTTAACAGGCAAAGCCCTCTTTTTACAGGCGCGGGCTGACATTAGAAAGATTTGGTGGACATGG